ATGGCCTTCGCTGATATATTTGCTTCTGTCCATTACAACAATGGCGCCTCCTTTATCTGCAGGTTTTATAATTATGTCATTACGACTAGCGAGGGATTCAATTGCTTGTTGCTCTCTGTCAGTAAGGTTGCGGTGCAATGGTGTACGTTCTTTATATGCCTGCATGACATCGCGTTGTACAGCTCTGATATAAAGGTCCAGACATTTGTCTCTTTGGGAGGGGGGTGTCCAATGCTTGTAAGATGGCAATGATGAGCTACCGGTATTGTGAGCCGAGGACCGATCATAAAAGTACTCACGGAGGCGCATGTTACGTTCGAAATTGTGAAGATCCTTCACCAACTGAAATTCACTATAGCCTCCTGTTGCAGGGCAAAAATTAAGTCCTCGAGATAACACACTACGTTCCTCAATTGATAGATCGTAACATGACAAATTTATAATGTTATCCTGTCCAGAAGATTTACTTTCCAGCTCGGGCTGGTGCATTTCAGCTGTAGTTAGAATGTTTCCTCGTCGGGAGCATTCCTTTTTTCCTAAGTTGTCACGCGCGACCTTCTTTGACTTTTTAGCATCCAGCTCGGCTAACTTCTGTGACCGATATAATTCGAGATTTTTTAATTCTTCAGTCGTAAACTGAGAGGATTGCACAAGCTGTTTTTCCTGATTCCGCAGACCTTTTTCTGATGATTCATAATGGCTAATAAGTATGCTGGTTAGTTCAACAGACGCCCGATTTAAGGTGTTGTGCCACCTTGACAGGTTTTTCTTTGACATCTCTGATGTGGCCGGCTGCAGTTTTAGTTGTAAACCTTTAGGAGCACTTGTTGCCGCGACATACATTCTAAGCATAGAAATGTGCGATTCACAACGAGTACGTTTTTCTATAACCTTCCTGGTCCTTAAAAAGTTCATTGAGCCAACAGATAAAGTACTCTCACCCAGCTGGCGTGATTGCGACGCCAACAAACCAGTTTCTGCATCTACGTTAGCTACGTTGCTTAAGCTCATTCTTGAACTTAACAATTTCGAATTTGATGGGACACATTATGTTCAAGTTAGCGGTACATCTATGGGCACAAGAATCGGACCAAACTACGCAAACATACTTATGGGACTCCTTGAAAACAAATTTCTTGCAAATTGTGAATATAAGCCATTTTACTATAAGCGGTTCATTGACGACATTTTCCTAATCTGGCACCATAGTGAATCGCAACTTCTTTCTTTCATAGCAGATCTTAACAGCGCTCATCCGGCGATTTCTTTTTCGCACTCATATTCACCTGTGAACATAAACTTCCTTAATGTCATGGTCACACTACGTAACGGGAAGCTGATAACTAATCTTTACAGAAAACCCACGGATAGGCAGCAATATCTTCACTCTAGCAGTAGTCACGTGAAACACAACAAAACTAGTATTCCCTACAGCCAAGCAGTCCGTTTTAAAAGAATATGCTCTGATAGCAGCGAATTTTCCCGCCACTGCGAACAACTTCGGAGCGCGCTCGAAAAACAGAGCTATCCGGCCAGCATAATCACAGACGCCATCAAACGTGCCGAAGAGCATGACCGTTCAGACCTGCTGAGTACTAACAAAAGACCCAAAGACTGTTCGCGGACTAATCTAATTTTGACACATGCGGCCTCAGCTCCAAATGTGAACCATATCTTAAAGAAACATTTCAACATTTTAATACAGAGCGAGCGGCTCAAAGGAATCTTTACAGAACAACCACGCGTGGTCTACCGGCGGTCGCGGAACCTTCGTGATTTACTAACCTCATCTAAAACCACGTGTTCACATCATGAAGGCTGTCATCCCTGCAACAAACCACGTTGCAAAGTGTGCGTGCACATGACGACATCTAAAACAGTTTTAAGTACATCGTCCAGTTTTTTTTTTAAATATAAATGGGAACTACACGTGTGATAGTACCAACGTCATCTATCTTCTCGAGTGTTCAACATGCGGAGCTCAGTACATAGGTCAAACAGAGACAAGTTTCAGAATTCGTTTTAATAATCACCGTGCACATGCCGTAAGCCTCCCTAATCTACCGCTGTCGAAGCACGTCAGTATGCCTGGTCATGGTTTCGACAAAATTAGGGCCACTATTATTCAGTCCGGTTTCAAGACAAATCACGATAGGGAAGTGAGGGAATCCTTCTTGATCCATAAATTTAACACCATTCGTTCAGGTATCAATGAAAACGTAGGAAAGCTCACCTGCCTCGCACTATAACAACACGACTTCTTAGATTAGTAAAATATTTTAGTGTATATTAAAATGTATATTAGTCAACCGTGGTTTCTTTACTTCAGAGCTCTTTTGCATGTCCTGCCAACCATACTGTGCCCCGCGTGTCGATGCGCAAGGAAATTTGAGACTTGTATATTCATGCACCCGTCACATGTCAGTCATGTCAACACAAGGTTCTGACAGATTACCATTTTTTTTACTTTGATTGTCCTAGCTGCTATACCAAGAGTTCATCACGTGAGCCTATAAAAGCGGCTACATTGTATCATACCTACTTACTCTGACGAAGGCCGTGCCACGGCCGAAACGTTAGTAAATACGATCCTTTTCTTATGTGCTATCTGCAAGGTAATTCAATATATATATATATATATATATATATATATATATATATATATATATATATATATATATATATATATATATATATATATATATATAGTGCGAAGATATTGTTACGGTTTGTTTTTTATCATTATTTTCCCAGCGGCCTTTCATTTTTTAGTGATTTTAGCTTGATTGACAAGAGTTTGATGTTGGGCGTGCTGGTAATACATAACTGATCACGTATATAGCGCGAAAAATATGACCCACTGGACATGGAAAGGGTCGAAGGGAAGCGCTTACTTCCAACAAGGTTTATTTCGAAGTACACACACACACACACACACACATCCCATATATATATATATATATATATATATATATATATATATATATATATATATATATATATATATGGGATATGGCACAACGGAGCGTTGTCAACAAGGATAAATATATTCAAGGATAGTATAACTCATCCCCTGATGAAGGGAGGACCCCTCCCGAAACTGTTGGGAAATAAATATATTTATCCTTGTTGACAACGCTCCCGTTGTGTCATATCCCATACCTCCACGAAGACTAACTGGCCCATTGAATTATTACTCCCACTATATATATATATATATATATATATATATATATATATATATATATATATATATATATATATATATATATATATATATATATATATATATATATATATATACTCTCGAAATGACAAAAAAACATGCGCGGAAAAAATTGTACAATCTCAGGAGGGACAATTCTTATTGACAAAGCCCGAGAGAGGGAGTGCTAACGCAGTTCACCCTTAATCTAAAATCCTCTCTGCCTCGACAATTTATCTTGTCATTTTATTTCAGTTTTACCAAAAATCACGATGTCATGCAAAAGTGGTCAGAAATGGTCCCAATGGTTTCTTGGCATTGCATGGCAGCCTTTGTGGCTGCAAATCACTTTTTCGTGATACCGTGATTGTTGGTGAAAACACAAATAAACCGACGAGGAAAACTATCGAGACAGAGAGGATTTGTAGATTAGCGGTGAGCTGCGTCAGAATTCCCTCTCACGGGCTCTGTCAAAAAGAATTGTCCTGTCTGAGATTGTAAGATTTGTTATTCTCTTTTTCCCCCACCCCATGTGTAGGGTAGCCAACCGAGCCAAGCTTGGTTAACATCCCTGCCTTTCCTCTCTTTTTATCTCTCTCTCTCTCTCTCTCTGTCTCTCACGAATAACAGTTGTGGGCTTCTTGACTGTTGTCTTTTTTTCGCATTTCGAGGATATATATTTGGGCGTTCTTTGACATAAGTCTTGTTGGAAGTGAGCGCTCTTCTATGCATGTCCCTTTTCATGTCCTGTGTCTTATATTTTTCGCGCTACAACATCAGTTCAGCTTGGCCTGTTACTTCACAAGGCGCATTCCAATACGGCTGCAACGCGAGAAAAAAATTCATGTTCATTCTACATTATAGGCGTAGTCATAAAAGACAGCAATGAAGCCAACAGTTATGAGTAAACTACGAATAACAGTGTTGGGATACATTTACTCCGAACACCTTTAGTTTTCGCCACTGTTCTCTGCAGTAAGCAAACACGAAGTAATCAAATTCGCTCTGTGCCTCTCAATAGAAACGTAAATATATTTATCTGGTGTCGCCGTTTTCACAAAGCTAGCTTGTATACGGTTGATGACGTTAGTAGGCACACCGTAAATAAAAAAAAGAAAAACCTAAGGGAGCGCCAAAAGTGTTCGCTACAGTGCGACTAGGCGTCAGGGTGTTCCACTGCTACACCATAGAAGTACGTAAACTGGAAGCCAGATGAAGCAAATAGTAATCGCCAAATGAAAGCCATGCGCTCACTTCCTGCTGCATGGAGAGTTACCATAGCTACAAGCGGACGCGTCGTTGCAACGAGTCACAAAACGCGAGTTATCGGTAAAGCCAGGCGACGGAGCAGCAGCGGTGAGTCAAATAAAACAATCGTATAATTAACCTGGCGTCAAAATGAAAAAAAACTAAACTAAAATTGCTGCGGTAACAAATATGATTTGCCGAAGCTGCACTTTGTCAATGGTATAGTAAACCTGGTGATAAAAGTGATGAGCAAGCTTTGAGATTTCATTTAGCGCTGTACGACTTCGTATTAGTGCGACCGTCTGCGCGGCCTCCGTGACTGTAACGGCGTGGCCACGTATTTCGGGGGTCACGCTGTTGCCGTGCCGTGGCCGCTCAAGGAACCGCTGAAGCGGTGCGCCAGCCAGTATGCCGATCTCGCCCCTGGTGAAATCACTGCCAAGGGCTTTGCGAGTTTCCTCGTGCGCGATCTTCACGCGTCAACGGGAGGACAGTCGAAGCTACACAGAGCAGCCCGATGGCGGAGATCACAGCGAAGGTCAACCACTCACCGCGCTCTGTCGCTGAACCTGGCCCCGCACACGGGGCATCGGAATCCGGCCTCGGGCCTCGCCTCACCCCCGGACTCCACGCTGGTCGTCTCCTGGAGGTCCTCCTCTGAGACGGTGCGGTCCGCGCCTGCGTCAGCCAACTTCTTAATGCCCCATACCATGTACAGTTCGTGTTTGAATAGTCCATTGATCAGGTGAAAACCTCGTCTAATCAACTTCAACGAACGTCAACGAACGTCAACTTCAAAGAAAAGATGGCTTCACAAGAAATGAAGTGAAAAAAGTGACGCTTTGTGGAGCGAAAGTCACACAAGAGCCAGTGAAAACACGTTTGCGCATATATTTGGTAATAAGGCAAATTAAGCGAGTACTAGTTTAGCGAATTCCATTGTAACCAGTGGCATACGTGCGGACGTTTAACCACACGTCATTTATTATACCGATGTCCGTGACCAGCATAATGCGCAATTTCGCAAAGCACATTGTGCTTTAACTCCACCCACTTTCTCGAGATGTTACATTTCCTTTCACAATACGACGGTCTTTATCGCTTCGAAGCTTTCATGTTGCTACTTGCTAATTCGAAACGAGTACAAAGAGTATCGAAATGGCGGTAAGGAGACGTAATAATGAATCACGCCGTCTTCGCAGTCTTTTTTCAACAATGTATTTTGTAACGCTGCCCTCGTAGCCTATAAGGCTAAACATTAGCCCCGGTGGTGGCTACTAATTGATGACATCGTTCTGGCAGGTACATGGAAGCAGCCACCGCCCTCGAGAGGAGGAAATCGGTGAAGGCGGAAAGGCTTGGCCAGCGGCCAGTCGGACGACTCGTTCGTCGATAAGAGCGTCGCATATGCATCTCATGCCAGCCACGCCGATTATTCCTGCAACGACACATGCCCCGCTGCGGCCCGTGCACCCGAGGACGGGTTCCTTCGTAACGCACGTCACTCGAAGCAGCACGAGTGCTCGTGTAAAGACGGTGTAGATACTCGCTTGTCAAGAGGCGTGGTCGTAGTACCTCTTCAAACTAACGTAAATGGGCGAAACTCGACATAACACTGCCTTTCTTATCTTATGCAATTTACGCATATTTCTTCCTCATTTAAGTGTATTCCTCTGCAACAGCACAGTGAGAGGGAGAAAGAATATAAGAAAGGTAGGGAGGTTAACTAGACTGAGTCCACCCTACACGTAAGGAATAAGAAGGAGAGAGAGAGAGGGAGATGGACATTGCTCTCAACAGACACACACCACACAAACAATGCAGGGTTTCGCAGACGATCGCTCAGCGATGTTGCCCTCGATAATTGTAAAAGCGCTCGTGTTACTTCCTGAGAACAGCAGAGTGACTTTCAGCCCCAGTCATAAGCGTGCGCCCAACGTGGGGAAGGGGAGGGGGTGCATAGGTGGGGGCGCTCTGAACTAGTCAACCAAGAGGGGGTGGGGACACAAAGTCTGCCCCATGCATTAGGTGAGGATTGGGGAGAGGGGGGGGGCTACGATGAACTATCGGCCTCCCTAAGCACGCTTATGGTGGCCATGGGCTGATCGCATATACCGCAGTGATATAATTCGCGTGTCCTATACTTAGGTTCCTGTAATCACTCAACCTGTTCTTTCTTCCTTTCGCACTTCATTTTTTTATTTATTTCTTGTTGTAAAGATGGCACGCGCAGCACCACATCTGGTGGTTTCTACTCAACCGGTTCTTTTTCTTGTACCTCGGATGACTGTAAATATTCATTATTATTATTATTATTATTATTATTATTATTATTATTATTATTATTATTATTATTATTATTATTATTATTATTATTATTATTATTATTATTATTATTATTACACAAGCTTTTCAGACAAGCTGAAGCACTGAGATGTCAACTTGCCAGATCTCAGCGCCTAGTTTATTAATGCGAAAGCCTCCGATGCATTATAAGAGACGCCGGCGTCCACACGAGTGATGCGATTATCATCATCATGACCTCACTATATGACGTCAGAGGTCAGAAAACGTCATGACTTCACACAATGTGACGTTATAGAATGAAATCATCGCAGGACATCATTGCTTGGTCAAAGGTGCGATCATCTTGGAGGCACCGCAAAAGCACGTGATTTCCAGAAAGGAAAGCTTTCAATGCTTCTAATACCAACGGTTGTGTGACACAACATTGGGTGCAGCAAGCATTCGTGAGTGAAGGGGTGGGCGTCAATACAGTTTAGTGAAAAAAAAAATGGGCAGATCCCACGTATAGTGGGAATCGATGACATGCGAACCACTAATGAGAAAGGCTGACGTGTTACTTTAAAATCAGCACAACGTTACGAGGTGGAGGTAGATGATGCCGTACATGACTTCCGTGTCATGATTATCATGTTTGAATGCGTCGTTTACCTTCGTCATCTATTCACGTCACGTGATACCAAATTTAGTATAAGTGAAGCTAGCCAAACGGCCGCGAGCACGTTATGAGCATGGTATGTTGTCATGTCCTTACATGACACGCGTGTCAGGATTATCATGTTTGCACCAGTCATACACTTTCGTCATCCATTGACGTCACGTGACACCGAATTTGGTATATGTGGAGCTAGCAAAACGGCCGCGAGTGCATCACGAAGGGCCCAATATACTCCAATGCAGCGTTGACGCACGTGCACGCTGGGCACAGCGACGCTACGTTAGCAAAACGCGAGCGCTCTATAGTCTGACGCCAGGCGCGACCGGCGCGCCCAGCGTCCGTCGGCGCGGCCCGACGGCAACCGGCTCGAAACGCTACATGCTGCATTTCGCGCCGATGCGTTACCCAGACAACACTGCGTCTCCCTCTTTTCGTGACGGAGGGACGCCGGACGCGCTGAAACGCGCATGCGTCAAAGCAGCGCAGCGCGGCACTTGCCTGTGAGGACCGGCGCCTAGCGTGGCAATGCCGGCGCGACGCGACGAAATGAACGCCGGCGAGCACACACACCCCGTCACGTCGAAATGTAATGACGCCGTGACTGTCGCATGTAGTCATGTTCTCACATGACACACATCTCATGGTTATCATGTTTGCACCAGTCACATACATTCGTCATCCATCGAAGTCACGTAATACCAAATTTGGCATTTGTGAAGCTAGCGAAATGGCCGTGAGCTCACCATGAGGGTGGCATGTAGTCATGTTGTGACATGACACGCATGTCGTGGTTATCATGTTTGGGTGTGTCATTTAGCTATGCCGCCCGTTCACGTCCCGTAATATCGAACTTGGTACATGTGAAGCTAGCGAAACGGCTGTGAGCGCGTCATGAGTGTAGCATGTAGTCATGTTGTTACATGACACGCATCTAATGTTTGCACCAGTAATCATACTTTCGTCATCCATTCACGTATACCGTAACCAAATTCCGTATATGTGACGCTAGCGAAACGGCCACGAGTGCATCATGAGCGTGGCATGTAGTCATGTTGTTACATGACACGCATGTCATGATTTTCATGTTATGGTCTGCCGCTTGTGTTCGCCATGCAATCATGTCATGCCATACCAGTTTTGCAGCATGTCATGTGAACGAAACCACCGCATGAGATGCAGGACCATGAAATGTAAATCATGACATTCATGACAAACATATGATTTTCATGTTATGACTAGTCAAACATATTCTTCAAACAGCCATGTTATGCCATAACAGGTTTGGCATCGATGCCACTATCGAAACCGCCAGGAGAGCTAGAAGTCGTATAGGCGGCTTTATAGATAAATGCGCTCAATGTCGCCGAAGTTCGCTAAGAAATGCTTCGCATTTAAAACAACAATAAGACGGCTACAGCCGTCCACTCGGCTTAATGGGACTAACGTCCCAAAATCACCATATCATTATAAAGAGAGAGAGAATAAAATGAGGGAAAGGCAGGGAGGTTAACCAGAAAATGGAGCATCCGGTTTGCTACCCTGCATTAGGGGAAGGGGGAATGGGGAAGAAAGATTGGAAAGAAAGCGAAGAGGGAAATAGACGCGCGCGAAAAAAAAAGGGGGGGGGGGGGAGCTACAGTCTATACAATAGGCCGCTGCCACGCAAAAAGTTCAGTAAGGCCTTCACTGAGTTTCTGTGAGCACACAAATCATGTCGTCTTTCCAGCACTGATTGTTCAGACAAAGGTCTGTCGTCAAGGCGAGCTAACGCAGCAGCTAGTTGCCGTCTTTGCACGCTGTAGCGAGGGCAGTGACAGAGAACGTGCTCTATAGTTTCATCGCTGCCGCAATGACCGCAAGCAGCACTGTCTTCCATGCCGATTCGGAAGGCGAAAGCTTTGGTGAAGGCGACACCAAGCCATAGTCGGCAAAGCACCGTTGTCTCGAGTCGGGAGAGTCCAGACGGAGGCCGGAGTCAACGAGACGTGTCCAGTCTACGCAGTCGCGTGTGCCGTAAGCACTCGGTGTTCCACAGGGATTTTAATTCTGCATTAGCGATTTTTCGGATGGTCATTGCAGCATCAGTCCTTGAAAATGGTATAGATTTTTCTTCACCATCTTCGTGTGCTGATCGGGCAGCTGCATCGGCATGTTCGTTGCCCAATATGCCGCAGTGACTTGGAAGCCACTGAAACGTGATTCTGTGTCCTTCGTCGAAGAGGTGGTGAAGCAGCTCTCTAATTTCCAGCACTAATTGTTCATGAGGTCCCCGGCGTAAAGCGAATATCAAACACTGTAGTGCTGCCTTAGAGTCCGTGAACACGCTCCATTTCTTGGCTTCTTGGTGTTTAATGACTTGAATTGCGCTACGTAGAGCAGCAAGTTCCGCAGCTGTCGATGATGTCTGGTGGGATAAACGAAACTTCACCGTTGTCACTGTTGCAGGAAAGATCACCGACCCTGCAGACCCATCCACTTTAGTTGAAGCGTCAGTATATAGATGAGTATGCTCACTGTATTTCTCATATAACAAGAGAAGAGAAAGCTGCTTTAGCGCTGGAGACGAGAGCCGGGCTTTTGACCCTATGCCTGGAACCGTGAGTTCAACATGTGCATAGGTCATACTCCATGGGGGAGTTGAAATCCTCGATGGAGTTGTATATCCCGTAGGAATGCGTGTGCGATATGACAAGACTGTCTGGCAAAATGAGGCATG